AATAGAAGCTGAAAGACACAAGGATCTTCCCCAACAGCTGACAGAGATAGAGCTTTTCCCTAGAGCTGATGCCCTGAATTTGGACTTCTAGCCTCCTGAACTGTGAGAAAATAAATTTCTGTTCTTTAAAGCCACACACTTGTGGTGTTTCTGTTACAGCAGCACTGGGAGACTAAGGCAAGTGGTAATGAAAATTCTCTCAGGACCAGAAATCTAAGCAGTATATTTGATTTTCCACTTTATAGGCAGGGGACAGAGACTCCTGGACCATAGCAAATGATCTGACCACTTGGTAAGGGACCTGGAAGGAACATGATCTGAAGATCAGAATCAGGGATGAGGTACATGGGGGACAACGAGAAGAGACATCAAGTGTGCAAATCTTTGTCTCATATTGATGCCCATTAGAGAGGGCCACTGCAGATAGGGTAACAAGCAGCCAGGTGGACAGATGACCCCTCCACTGGAAGCCAGCCTGCCTCTGTCCTCGGCCATTCAGCGCTTGTACAACAGCCTCATGAACAGAACAGAGTAGCTGGTGGCAGGGATGAAGTTCGGCACGAGCCCAACCACCTGGTCTTCCTCTCACTGGGGCTAATCTAGCTACTGCTGCTGATCCCTTAACAGGGTACCATCCCTGGAAGGGACCAGTCAGACACTTCTTCCAAGTTAATTACATCAGACCCTTACCTGGAGGCAACAGTGACCCTTTTCCCCCAGAACTGACACTCCAGATACAGGGTTTGCCTTCGTTGCTCAAGTGCCTCTGCCTGCACTGTTATATCACAGATTGCAGAGGACCTGACTTAACTGACATGGGATTCCACACAGCATCACTCAGGCTGAGAGATCCACTTCTACCAGGGATGCAGTAGGGTTCCAACGAGCCTGAAGACATCGGTGCTGGTGGACCAGCAGGCACATAACCCATTGCTGGGAAGTCAAGTCCAGTTGCTGGTGGGGATAAATGACCCTGATTATCCTGAGAGAGCCTGAGCAGGCTGCTAACCAAAAGATTGGCAGTTCAAATCCACCAGCTGGTCCTTGGAAACCCTATGAGGCAGTTCTCCTCTGTCCTGTAGGGTCACTATGAGTCGGAATTGACTCAACAACAACAAGGTGTTTTTTTGGTTTATCCTGAGAGAAGGGGCAGTGGTGGTTCAGTGGTAGAATTCTCACCTTCCATGTGGGAGATCCAGGTTCAATTCCCATCAATGCACCTCAAACACAGCTATTAGCTGTCTGTCAGTGGAGGCTTGCATGTTGCTATGATTCTAAATAGGTTTCAGTGGAGCTTCCAGACTAAGACAGACTAGGGAGAAAGGCCTGGTGATCTCCTGCATGGTAGGTGAGAATTCTACCACTCAATCACTAGTAAACTAATAAAAAACCAAACCAGTTGTCATCAAGTTGATTCCCATTCATGGTAACCCCATGTGTGTCAGAGTAGGACTGTGCTCCATAGGGTTTTCGATGACTGAATTTTCAGAAGTAGATCACCAGGCCTTTCTTCTGAGGTGCATCTGGGTGGACTCCAACTTTCAGTTAGCAGCTGAGGACTTAATCATTTGCACCCCCCAGGGACTCCTTAGCTTGTCTTAGGCTCTGCTTTCACAGGGACCCAAACAAAGACTCCCATAGGTTTGGACTCTGGTTAAGGGGTATACCTGTCAGACTGTCTTTGAAGGGAGGGGCAAGGCAGATGCCTGGGGTGTAGTTAGCGCTCTTCTTGCCCTTGAGAGAGCAAGGCTGCAGGAGAGGGGGAGAGCCAGTTCTCGTCTCCTGAGGCTCTGGCCCCTCACACCCCCACCGTCTGCCTCCAGATTTGAGGAGAAGCTGCTCCCACTCAGGGATACACTGAAGAGTCTAGTTCTCAACATATACATCCCAGCCTTTGCAGCGACCCCACCCCCACCCGGGGGAAGAGGGGAATGCGGGGCCCTGGCCTCTGCCCCCACGACCTCTGCCAGAGGGTATGCCAGTGCCCCCTCCCCAGCAGGCTGGCTCTGCTGCAAACTCCAATGCAGCCTTTAATCTGCTCAGATCATCACTACAGGAATAGAATTCAATGTTTAAAAAGCACCAGCCTTCCCTGTAAGACGTGGGCAGAAATAGCAGCCGCAGCCGGGAGCAAGCAGGGAGTGTGCTGCACGCGGGCGGAGGTTCTGGGGGTGGGCTGCGCCTCACTGCTCTGGCCCAGGCAGCCGCAGAGTCCGCTTTAAATAGCTCCTCGTGGGCACATGGCAGCAGAAAGAAGGCAATGCAGGCAGCCAGGCACAGGGCTGGGGGCAGGGTCCCGGCCACAGGGAGGTCGATCCAGGCCAGCCGGAAGCTCTGAGACCTTGCCCACACCAACATCCCCGGACGCTGGAGCTGCCCTGCTCTGCCTTCCTCAGACCTCAAGGGTCTCTGTTCCCTAGGGGTGGGAGGTGGGGGGGGCAGTCTTGGCCCAGCCCAGTAGCTACATGGGTGCCCATCTGGGGACTCGGGCTTCCCCCAACTCTCTGGGTCCCAGGGAGGAGAGGAGCAATGGCTAGGCACGAGGCCCGTGGCCAGAGGGAGACAGCTGAGGAGGGGAGAGGAACCTGGGGGCCTCAGGGACTGGCACAGGAGACCCCCAACCTCGGGCAGCACCCCGGCTCTGCCCATAGTCCAGGCGTGGTGCCTCTGCCACAGGCCTCCTCTCAGACTGGTTGGCCTTGGCTGCCATCTTCCCCACCGTCTGGAGGTGGCCTAGGGCCCAGCTGACCTAGATCCAGTCCTTCTGCTCCTGGTCACCTGCTCCCTCACTTGTCTGAGGTCTGCCTGCCCCGGGGCCCGGAGTCCCTCAGTCTCCCCTCCTCTCATTCTTCAGAGCAGAGCGGGAGCCCACAGGGGCAGCCTCATGGGAAGGGGTCTTTAAGGAGTGAGGGGGAAGCAGGGCAGAGCTGAAGGCTGGGCACAGTGTGGGCTCAGGGCTGTGTCCTCCTCTGCTCTGGAAGTGGTCTGTGTTCCTGGCCTAGATGACTTCAGCCTCAGTGGTGGCCTTATCACTCTGCCACCTGAGCCTAACCCATCAAGTCCCGCCCCCAGCGTCCTGCTACCCTGGCCCTGGGGCTCAGAGCAGGTTGGCCCTGGCTGCAGGGCAGACAACCTGGCCAGGCAGCTTTTCCTGATTCCCAGAAAGTCACCACCAAGCTCCCCCCATGTGTTTCTGAGGAGCTCCTCCAGGAAAGGCGCCTTGGGGCCAGCGGGTCTGGTGCTGGGCAGCTTTGGCCTCCGGGCGGAGGAGACAACAGAGCCCACACAGCTACCCCTCTAATTGCACTGCTGCCTCTTCTGAGGGCAGTGACCACAGCGGTGGAAAACCCTGACCCTTATCAAGAGCTCAACGCTATTGCTTCATGTCCAGGCAGCTGCAGTGGTGGGGACAGGGCTGTGGGTGTTTTTGGAGACTTGGCAGACTCAGTTCTTCCATCACTAGACCAAGAAGTCACCACAGTGTCGCCCTGGCCCTGGGGACCCACCCAGGGCAGGTTGGGGTGCCACGCCTCGGCCACCTGGCCTCCTGCCCCTCTGCCTGCCCACCAATCCCCTTGGACACGGATGTGACCACATGACAGAGGGTGGCCAAGCAGATGCCAGAGGGTTCTGGCACCTCCAGCCCGACACTTGCTGGGGCTCCAGTGGCCACAGGGCTTCAGGAAGGCTGTGGGCTTTGGGTCAGCTGGCTCCAGGCTCAGATGCCAGCCCTACCTCCACCTGTGTATGAGGAGGGTGTAGGGTATGTGTCTGGACCTGGACCTCATCTGAGAAACGGGCCCATCAAAGGCCAGTTACGGGAGGAACACGAGACAACGTGTGAAGGCTGGATCCTCTGCTACGGGCTGACTTGTGTTGAAGTCCTGACCCCAATACCTGTGAACGTGACTGTTTGAAAATAGGGTCTTCAGGATGTCGTAAGTTAAATTAACATGAGGTCATACTGGAGTAGGGTGGGTCCTAATCCCATCTGAGTGATGTGCTTATAAAGAAAAGAGACCCAGAGATAGAGACAGACAGAGGGAAGACAGCCACGGGATGACAGAAGTACGATATATCTATAAGCCAAGGAACGCCTGGGGCCACCAGAAGCCGGGAAAGACAAGGAATGATCTTCCTCTACAACAGACAGAGCAAGGCCCTGCCAACATCCAGAATTCAGACTCCTACCCTCCAGAACTGTGAAAGAATAAATTCCTGTTCTGATAAGCCACTCAGTTTGTGGAATTCAGTTACAGCAGCCCCAGAGACTAAGACACTCTCCAGAGACTCTCCCTTCCCAGCTCCAGCCTCCTGGCATTGGACAACCCTTTCTCCTTCTCTCGGGACCCTCAACTCCCTGCTTTACCCTGGTGCACAGTCTATGTTCAACCCTGGGGCTTCCATGGACTGCCCCTTGTCCACATGTTGCCACCCAGCAGGGGTGGCGACGAGAGCCCTCCAAGTGGCCAGGCAGAGGCTCCAGCCAATGGGGAGGGGCCCCCTGCTGCTTTGGGGATGAAGAGTATCTGTCAGCCAGGCCCCGGGCTTTACTTTACGCAGGGACCCTAGAGCCCTCAGAGCTGCTCCTTGCCACCATTCCATCCACGACAACAGTGATGAACATGGTCGAAAAGAAAACAAGTCACAGAGCCCTAAGACCTGAGTCATTTTCTGAATCTAAAGTCCCAGCTCCTCCTGGGGTCCAGTGGTACGCCTCACTTGGCCAGGTCAGGAAGAACTGGGCAGGCCAGGGGTTCTGCCACACCCTGTCTCCATCCATCTGCATGAGAGGCCTGTAGGGGAGCTGGTGTTCAGGGTGGGGGTGGGAGCCAGGGACCAAGCCTGGAGGGCTGGGGGGCCAAGGCTCTCCGCCTGTCTATGGCCTGTTGGCACCCCACTTTGAAATGCAGGGAGCAGGCTGGCTGATTCAAGGGCCTTTGTCCCAGGAGTGCCCATGTCCCCCTCAAAGTGCCACTCCCTTTGAAGGACGAGCTCCCTCACATGGTGTAGGCTGCCCAGTAGATGACATTGACCGCCGCGAAGGCCGCTGGGAACACAGCACGGGCATAGATGTCGATGGTGTCCGCGTCAATGGGCTTGAAAAGCACCCGCATGCTGCCTGAGCGGGGCCCCTCCTGCCTCCTGGTCTCTACTTCCGCAGAGCGGTAGGAGCCCATAAGGTTTCCAGGGGCGCGACCCTGCCTGTTGGAGACAGCCAGCTCCTGGTTGACACCAGCCGCAGACAGGGAGAACAGCACAATGGCATTCTTCACGTCGATCTGTGAGGGGCGGAGGGGGAGGCAGGGCTGAGCCTGTCACAGCTCCCGGCCCTGGGGACAGGTCTCCCCCTGAGGACTTGCATGGAGGACCCCCCACTGAGGAACCCCACTGAGGACGCCCATTGAGGATACTGCTCTCCAGGAGCTTCGGGCCTGGCAGTGAACCCTCAGAGCCAGCTGGCAGAGGTGCCCCCAGGTTGAGCCCAGGAAAAAGTAAGTGGCCGTCAGCAATGCTGCCCACCATCTGCCAGGTCAGCCAGTGGCAGTGCTGTCCTCAGACCTGGAGACCACATGTGAAGCCAGCCCCACCTGGCATGACCTAGGCCCAGCCTCACCTTGGCCTTCTGCTCCTTGACCTTGACCTTGGCCTTCTGCTTCTTCCGGTAGTCAGCATTGAAGTGGGCAAAGGCATACTCCACCAGGGCGGCGAACACGAAGACATAGCAGATCCAGAAGTACACGTCCAGGGCTTTGATGGCCGAGGCCCTCGGGAGGGAGGACCGGGCACTGACCATCAACGTGGTCATCGTCAGCACTGTAGTGATACCTGCACACAGGGGTGCCCTTCAGTTTCAGATGCAGCCCCATGCCATCCTCCCTCCTCCACCCACAACCTCCCCCAGCAGGGTCCTGGCCCCCAGAAGAGGAGTGTCTGGTGGCCCCACCCAGATAGCCACAGCTCAGGCTCCTCTGGCCAGGGATGGTGGGAGGGGCTGTGGTGCCAGGCCTGGGCTCACAGCCCACAGGTAGCAGGTTCTGCTCCCAGCTCTCACCCTCCACAAGTGCCCTGTTCCCCCACCAGCACACTGTCCCCCCATCTCCACCAGTGCCCTGTCTCCTCGCCTTTCCTGAAGCCCCCAAGAAGAGGCAAGGACCTCGTACCCAGAGACACCCTGGCGGGCACTGCAGCCTGACTAATCCAGAAGGAGACCCAGGACATGGCGACCAGGAGAATGGACGGCATGTAGGACTGGATGATGTAGACACCTCGGTTCCTCCGCAGGTTGAAACGCAGGCTGAGACGCGGGAACTGCCCAGCTGAGGGAAAGGATTGTCAGGACCTGGCACCTGCCCTCTCCCCTGCCATTAGGACCCAATGCCTGTCCTGCCCACCCCACCGCATGTCACGGAACTCGGGGCGGGGGGCACTTGGGCCCGCTTCAAGCCTCAGAGGGAAGGAAGACTCCATAGCCCACATTTCCCCCTGCCCCACTCAGCCCAGTGGGTCAGGGGCACGCCTGCCTTGGCCTTGCCACGAGCCCCCACCCCCAGTGAGACGAGCACAGGAAGATCCCACATTGTTTCAGACTCAAGTGTGCTGACCTGGCCCGGAGTCCCAGACAGTGGGAAGCTTCACTCCTCCTTTCCAACCTGCCCCCACCGCTATCTCCCACAACTCACCCCACCCCTACACAGGAAGGAGCCAGGGCTGGGCTCAGTCACTCCAAAACGGGGCAGCAGGGGCAGGAGGGGATGAGGGACAGAGGACAGGCAGTCAAGAAGGCTTAACTCCCGAGCCCTGTGGTCCTGGGGCTGAGGGAGGCCCCCCATTCCTTTGGGTCCCCCCAAACCAAGAGTGCAGCTAGCACTCGGGAAACAACAGGAGACTGGGGATGCGGTGGTGACAACCAGATCCCCCTGAGGCCTCTCCCGAGCCCCTCCTCTGTGCACAGCCCATGCCCACCGTTCCCAAGTCAGCGCTTGGAGCCACACCCTTGGGCCCTCCGAGCCAGCGAGGCCCTGCACAACCAGAGGCGGCTTTCATGGGTGACCAGGCAGGGCCTCACCGGACTTGAAGTTCATCAGCTCCACGGTGAATCGGAAGCTGGTGATGGTGAACTGGGCCAACTGAAGCTTGTCCAGCCCGTGGATCTGCTCCTGGTTCTCCGACCAGTAGTAAACGATGTCCTCAGAGGAGTAGCCATCTGCAGGAGAGCCCACAGGTGGGCAACGGGCAGAAGAACCCCCGCACCCTAAGGGGCCTAGGCCAGGGCTGCCTCTAGGCAGGTGGGTGTGGTGAGGAGTGCTGGCAAGAGTGGGGGACCCCATTGCCAAGTGACCCCCCCAAGGGCTGCCACACTTACCCCATAGCAACACCAATACCCGCCATGTCTGGGACCCACAGCTCAGCTCTCCCAGGATGGCGGAGGGGCCCAAGCTGCTCGAGGCCTTCTGGCTCCCCGAGTCCTTTGAGCCTGGCAGGCCTTGCCCGGGTCCTGAGCTAAACAGGTTCTCCCCACCCCCACCCTGTGCATGCCTGAGTCCCACCTGCCCACGCCAGTCACCTGAGGTGCCAGCTTCGCTCCCAGGATGAAGCCCCTCCCCTGCTGGGCCCTGGCGAGGACTCACAGCTCTCCAGGTCCAGCATGCACTCCTGCTCATCCATGGGGTACTTGGCCAGGTCCATGTCACAGGCCACCGTGGAGGTGATTCTACCAAGATAAAGGGGCCGGTCAGCTGCATGCTGGCAAGGCCAGCCAGTGTGCCCAGCACCATAGGCCCCTGCCCCTGAGAGGCCCAGACGCCCCTGCTCTGACCCTGAGGGGCCCCTGCCCAGTGCCACAGCCCCCAGAACCACCACCACTGCCCCAGAGAGGTCCAGCATCCTGTTCCAACCCTGAGGGGCTGCCCACTTGCCAAGACCTCTTGGGGCCTGAGCTGTATGCTGCCAGGCATCTGGGGAAAAACTTTATAGGTATCTATCTGTGAGTCTGTCTTTAGGACTATCAAGAACTGGGTTTCATTTATTTTCTCTATACTTCAAAATGCCTGACCATTTGACCAAGTTGGGGGCTACAAGGGCAGGTACCAGCAGGAGCAACTGGCCCTGCCCCCAGCAGCCAGCTCTGCATGCTGCCCGTGCCCCCTCCACTGACAGGCTGAGGCACAGGCCCAGTGTTGCCCAGAATCCTGATTTTGCAAGGAGGCCAGACATCTAGGTTTTCATGTAAAATCTTCTAGTGTTTTAATGCTGGCCACGAATTCCATTTGCAAGGACTGTGAAGGCCACAGGGCCACATCTATCAGCTTCCAGTTAGCAATCTCTGGAACCAGCACCCCAGTGGGGTAGAAATATGCCTTGGCTGCACCCATCCCACCCTGCTCCCTGTAGCATGTCTTTGGTTTTCTCTGGTAGGAACTTGGACATGGTGGGCCATAGGTGGGTGGGTGGAGGTCGAAGGGCTCATCAGGTGCTGTGCAGAATTGCCCTTCAGGCAGTAGGGGCTCTGGGCATCACTGGGTGCTATACAGAATCACCCTGTTGGGCAGCTGAGGGGGGCCTGGGGCTCACCAGGTGCTGTACGAGATCACCTCGTCAGGTGGGTGGGGGCCCTGGGGCTCACCGGGTGCTGTACAGGATCACCCCATCAGGCTGCAGCCGGATGAGCTTGTTCTCCACGGTGACATCATGGAACCAGGCAGACTTGGCATTGACGATGAAAGTGTCCGGGAGCCAGAGCCAGTCCACGAAGCGGCTGTCCAGACCCAGTGTCTCATTGGTGTGGCTATAGGAGAGCCTGCTGTCCCGCCAGCTCTGGTGCAGGAATATAGTCATGGTGTACTCCTGTAGAGGAGACCGAGTGGGGGAGTGGAGGATGACAGTCATCCCTCGGCTCACCCCGAGAGCACACGGTGGGGACGGAGGGGGCAGCAGTTAGTCCTTGGCTCACCCCAAGAGCACACGACGGGTGGGGGGAGGTTTGGAGGGGGCAGCACGCACCATGTTCACCTCTGAGATGTGGTCAATGCTGGCCACCTCGAGGGCAAGCGCCACGTTCACGGGGGGGCCTGAGAAGAGAAGGAGCAGGGCCTGAGCAGGCTGGGACTGGTGTCGGACACCCTCCACCCCAGGATCCAGGTCAGGCTCTGCACCGGGAGCCCAGGGATGCTGGGCTGGAGGAAACAGCAGGGAGTTTGCAGGGGCAGAGTGAGGTCCAGGTACAATCCTTGTTGGAAATGATTTGTCTTCCTGGCTGCCTCCCCAGGAGGCCTAGGGCTGAGGCTACCCTCTGGCAAGTCTGACATATCCTGGAGAGGACACCCAGGCCTGTTTCCAGCCCAGAGTCCACAGGGAGCACAACTGCTGCCAGACACACCCCTTCCCTTCACTCACCACCGATGCCGGGCCGGAAGTTCCGGGCATAGCCCTCCATCAGGCCATCCAGGTTGGGGAGCCAGGAGATCTCCAGGTTGGAGCCGACGTAATCGCCAATGTCATTCATGGCTCTGGGGGACGCAAGGGAATGGGTCACAGATAGGCAGGGTGCCAGGGGCTGGGTGCCTTCCTGGGGACGATCAGGGAGGGCGGGGAGCACTAGAAGGACCCCTAGGCCAGGACCAGGGTCTGCCCTGAGGTTGGGGCAGTGGGCCCAAGTTTCTCCATCTTTTCCTCAACCCTTTCTGCTCAGCTCCCTGGCCCTGCACCCAGCTCTGCAGGGGCCACCTTGGGTTGCACAGAGTCCACCCAATGGCCTCCGGTGGCTCCCTTCGGAAGCTCCTTCTGCAGGAGGGGACATGTGCGAAGAGGTGTTGACTGGGCAGCTGGGGGTGAGAGAGGAAGGTCACAGCGGCAAGTCCCACCCCAGTACCAGGGCAGGCCGAGGATTGGGGCGGGCTGCATCCAGGTCCTGTCTCTGTTCCGTCCTAGGAAGACCCAGGCCTGCTCCCGATGTCCCCAGGGGCTTCTGGGGCTTAAGCTGACTCTGGAGCAGCTGGAGTTGTGCTTGCTGACTGTGCTCGCTGGTTGCTCTCGCCACTGGGTTATTGTGCATGGCAGGGACACTGGGAGTGCCCAAAGCAACCCAGAAGGGCCTCACATGCTGGGCTCCCCCAGCAGCTCAGCCTGCCACCCTCCTCCCACCCACCCTTTTCTGCCCCTGCCCCTCCTTTCTCTTGCTCATACTGGCCCTCCCCATCCACCTCTTCCCTTCCATCACTTCTCCAAGTCTTGCGTTAAGATTCAGCTTCAGGCTCACCTCCTCCAAGAAGTTGCCCCTAATGCTCCACCCATTCATTCATTCATTCTCAAAGGGCCATATAGCCACAATAAGTCAGTGGACTCTGTCTAAGGGCAATGAGAAGACCCTGAGAGCTCTGGACAAGAAGTAGCTGGGTTAGATCCACACTTGGAAGCTATGATTCTGGCTGAAGGATGGGAAGGGGCCAGGGCAGGAGCCACTTTGGGAGGAGTCAGGAAGATGATGCTGGACTTATCTGGACAGAGCAGTGGATGGAGAGAGGCTGACACACCTGGGAGAGGTGCCAGACCTGGGGGCCCCAAGATTGCCTTGGGGTTCCACCTCAAGCAGCTGGCGGCTGGAGTGACATTTCTCCAGGCAGGCACAGTGGGGTAGGAGTGGGGTGAGGGGGTGTGGTAATGAGTTCAGTTGCTGAGTGGTGCCCCCAAGTGGAGCTGAACGTATGGGCTTCCTGCCTGTCTTAGCAATGACTGCCTGGACTTGTGCCCTTTACACTCCACTCTTCGGGAGGGTTCTAGAAGCCCTTTCGGGAAGGCAGAGCAGGTGGGGCTCCCAGACACCATCCGCTTTTCAATCACAGATGCCTTCCTTCTATCTATTTTATACACTGGCCTTTTGAAGAGGATTTAATTTGAGCTAAAAGTGCCTTGCATGCATTGTGTGCTGTTAAGCTGATTCCAACTCATAAAGACCTCATGTGACAGAGTAGAACTGCCCCATAGGGGTTTCTAGGCTATAATCTTCACGGAAGCAGATCACCAAGTCTTTCTCCTGTGGAACCAATTGGCGGGTTTGAACCGCCAGCCTTTCAGTTAGCAGCCAAGCACTTAACTGGTATGCCACCCGGCAAAAGTGCCCTAGTTAATGAATTTTTGAAAACCACTCATCGACCCTGAATGGTCACTTTGGCACGTCACCACAGGCAGGAGTGACTACGGACAAGGCCTCTAGGTCTGTGCTCCATTCCAAATGGGCAGACACTGCTTCCTTCTGCTCCCTCTCAGTGATGGCCTGGTAGAGGGCTGGGGGCAGGGCAGGTGCTTTGGTACAAAGCATAAAAGGGAATTAATTTAGTACTGGCTCCAATTGAAGCACAATTAAAAAGGCAAATGAGGTCACCCTCAAGGTCAAGTGTAAAGGGATTTGAATTAGCTTACTTTTGGATCAGTCAAGCTGCCATATTGCAGCAGTGATAGTGGCCTGGATGCTGTCCTTCCTGGGGTTGTCTCACCAGCAGGGGTGGGGTGCAGGTGCATGCAGACACACCTTCCCCTTTGTCCAGTCCCTGGCCTGCTCAGGGGCATAAAGGCAAGACCAGGGCTAGTCCCCAACTCCCACCATGAGGTGACCCTTGAAACAGCAGAATGCCAGCAGACTGTCCAACCCTCGGGTCTCCAGGGGTGTAGGGAGCTTGCTGAGAAGGGAAGCTTCTCCCTCCCACCTCGGGAAGCTTCTCCTCTCCTCACCTAGGACAATGGGTCAGTTTTCCAGCTGGGAACAGGGGGCAGGGCCAGAGCACAGGGGGGTGTGCTGCATGCACAACTCTGGATTCTGGAGGGCCCCCCTTTTCTCCCCCAGCTCAGGATGGGAAGAGCGGGCAGAGGCAATGACGGGGGGAGGGGTACAGACCCCTCATGCAGGGAAGCCGGCAGGGAGCAGAGACCGCATCTGATGGCTCGGGAGCTGACCATGGCCTAGGACTGGGGTGTCCTTCAGAGAGCTGGACAGAAAAGCTTGGGTTCAGGAATTCAAACTCATGGAGCAGAGCGAGCCGCAGAGAACACCAGGGCCTCCATCTTGGGCTGCCCTTGTGGGCATCAGGCTTCCCTGCCTCTCCTGGCCCCACTGAGAAACAAACCCACCCCTGGGGACCTACAGGGAAGGCAGGGGCAGTTGAATGAGGTAGTGCCCTCCAACAGGAGCCTGCCTCTGTCCACACACAGCCCACATATTTCTGACAGGTACGTGAACAGCTGTGTAAGCCGCTCCGGCATCTTAATTGCCAAGGCAAAGAGGGAACTGCAGCAGCATGCAGCTGCGGGGAGCAAGATCACCAGCATTCTGGGGGGCCCTGCTCAGGCACAAAATTGGTAGCCCATGTCCCTTGTGCACACGGATCTTCAGACTAGGGGAGGGTGGCTCTGGCGGACCTGCAAACTCTGCACGGTGTAGCCCTGCCTCATAGTGCATCCCCACCTTATGGTGCGGTCCCATCTTAGTCCCACCAAGCCCTTTCCACTAGGACCCACTGGAATCTGGACTAAAGAGTGATGACTGGAATAGGACCCCCTGTTAGTTCCAAAGGGGGCTTTCAGTTGTCTTGAAGTCCTCCCCATGTCGAGGCAAGACCACTTCAGGGATGAGGACCCAGAAGCTGAGGGAAGGGGGGACGCTTTCCTCCTGGGTCCTGGAGTGGAGAGACACAGGTGATGGGAGGGGATGTCCCAAATGGTCAGCACCACGCTAAGACTGACCAATCTCCCTCATAGGGCTGTTCCTCAGACCAGCACCATCCTCGGACCTGCAGCTCAAGCCATGAGTAGGAGGTTAGTCCAGCCTTGAGAGTCAGAGCTAATGACATGTGCATCATCAGGAATCAGCGCAAATGATAGCCTTTAAAGTGTAGCAGGATGGGAGCTGTTCTAATCAGAGCAAGAGATGGGCATTTAGCATTGCCGTGGCTATGGAAGCATCCATCCCCATCCCAGACACCTCCCCCATAGCACGCCCCTTGCAGGGACTAACTGTGGCCTGGCCTAGGGCCTCCAGCTGTCCTAAACCAGCAAACAGGCATGAAACTCCTCCTGTCCCAGCATCCCTGGAGCCAAAGTCTGGAATTCTGAATTTTTCAGCTTTTCGAAAGGTGATACGATGCGCATGCAGAGTTGGGGGTCTGGAGCATTTCAAAGTGAGAAATGTATAGTCACCCGAAGTAAGATCAATAGCCTCACCTGAGTTCAGGGCAGGTTTTGATACCGAATGAGCTTTAATGCCAAACTTAGGCTACAACTTTAGGGTTTCAGAGCTGCTTGGGTTTCAGAATCTCGGCTAAGATACCCTAATGTGAGCCAACAGTGTACGCTAGTGCTTCCAGCCCTTACACCTACACCATACCTGGGTCTGTTTGCTCTTCCTGGGATCTTAAAGTAGGAAAAGGAGAAAGGGAGAGGGCCCATGGGATTGATAAAAGGGCCAAGCTTTTCTGAGGACAGGGCTGCCACTCATAAGCTCATGGACAGTGCTGTGCCGATGGTCATGTCTGCAACCAGCCCCAGGGCTTTCAGGCTCTGTCACCCAGAGAAAGGGAGAATGATGCCCCCTCCCACACTGCATACCAACTGAATGTCTACAGCCAAAACACTGGCTGACGTAAAATGATTCAGTTCCTAGACATCTTAGATGTCCACCATTTGGCTGACCACGAGGTCTGGGAAGCTGGAGGCCTGTCTTTGCTCTGGGTTTTTGGTTGCTCCTGCACTGGGATAGTTTCCAAAAGGTTCCTCGCTGACTTTCATGGCTCTCGTGGGAGAAGGCCAGGCTCAGGGCTGGGACCAGGACACCTGGACAATCTGGGAGCCCATTTCAGGTGCCCAAAGAGAAGAGAGGAGCTGGGACTTTGCAGGCCACTGGAAGTGGGGGAAGGGAGCCCAGCCCGGGAACCTTTCTCCTTGGCATCTTCCCTCTCTGCGGAGGCAGGCTCTCTCCCCTCCCCTCCAAGGGGCACCTGGCTGGCTTCCCACCTTCTTACTTGGGTGCTCAGTCTATGCCACCTGAAATGTTCTGAAGGAGACCTGCCGTCCTGAACCCAGCACTCTCTAACATGACCAGCCGTTAGGATATGCTTTCCTGGGTCTAATCCCAGGCCCGCTGGCTGCCGTGGAAGTGCATTTGTGTAGCTCGGCTCCCATCCGAGAGGGAGCAGCCTCCCCCGTGTTTTCATGATCCTTTCTTCCTGCCTCCAGCTCGTGCCACGCTGAGCACTCAGCGGCGCGCCTGGAAGGGCACCATCCAGGGCAGGGATGGGGCTAGGGCAGGAACGGCGCCGGGTGCCGGGGCCAGGGGAGAGTGGGTAGCGGCAGCACAGCCGCTCCGACGTCCTTCTCGCCCGGCGGCGTCCGCGTTCAGCACCGGGACGGCGGACAGCGACTAGGGGCGGTGGGGGCCGCCAGCGCGTGGGTCGCCGCGTCCCGCGAGCCAACGGCAGCGTCGCGGCGAGTTGGAGAGGAGGTTGCGTGGGAGAAGACCCGGGGTAGGGGTCCGGGTGCCTGCGGTTCGCGCCCGGGTTATGGAGGCGCCCAGCAGCTCGGTCTCTGCCAGAGCGAGACCCCGAGGGCACCTCACGGACTGGGGACGCTTCCCGCCCCGACCAGACTCCGCAGCGCGGACCCGGCGCCGCGGACGCTCGCTCACCTGGTGCCGCGTTGCTGCTGGGCACAGAGCAGCAGAAGCGGAGGCAGCAGCCAGGCCAGGGTAGCCATGGTCTCGGCGGGCGGGCTCCGCGTGGGCCCGGCGGGCGGTGCCAGGGTCCGCGCCCACCCCGCACGCTGGCAAAGTTGCTTCGCGGCGGTGAAGGCACAGGCGGGCTGGGCCGGAGGGAGCGCGCGCGGGAACGAGGGGCGGGCGGAGCGCGGAGCCCGCCCCCTAATAAGGCCGCCCCGCCCCCAATCGCACTGCCCTACCCCCGGCCAGAGCTAATAGAATAACTAAAAACCCAAAACCAAACCGGTTGCGGTCCAGTTGATTCCGACTCATACCGACTCTATTGGCCAGAGTAGAACTACCCTACACGGTTTCCAAGGAGTGCCTGGTGGATTCAAATTGCCGAACTTTTGGTAGCAGCCCAGCTCTTGGTATATGTGCTGCCGAAGAGGGAGCACTCGCAGCCCAGCTCTTAACCACTGCTCTTTTTAAATTATTTTGAAAATAAAGTTCTGCAGTAGTTTCCCTCAAAAAACTGATCGCAAACTTTACTCGTTGCTTAGCCTCATTTATTTACTCCGGGATTCCTGATATCAGATGACAACATAAACTGAACTCCGGAAAACACAAATAGGTGCAATGGTGCGGATGTGGGCTAAAGTCCCTCGGGCGGCTGGGGCACGGACCCACCTGGCCAGGAGTAGGGAAGTACGGAAAGAGCTGCAGGAGGTTCCAGCCCAGCCTGAATGCGCGGAGAGAAGAGGGGACAGGTTTCAGCTGTCTGCCTCAACGCCAGACTGGGTTCTACAAAACGCCATCAGCTCTGTTTAAAACGTCTCCCTGCCTGCAGCAGGTCCCTTTGGTATGGAAGCGCTGACCTCAATCTCTTCACAGGTTTGGGGTCTGAATCTGCTTCTAGACAAGCCATTTGCTGTTTCCTCATTCTCATTTGTCCCTGCCGCCCACGCAGGCTTGCTGGGAGAGTGAGGGCTAATCCCTGAAAAAGTACCCAGAGCTCTGGCCGGGTAGGAGCTGTAAGGAGCTGTAAGTGTCAATGCAGGCACGTTTCAGGGACCTGGTCTGCCTGGTTCTTCATAATGCCTCTGGTGTCTAACAGCCTCTGGTATATAATAAAATACTTGTTGCTGTCAAGTTGATTCCGACTCATAGCGATCCTATAGGACAGATTAGAACTGCCCCATAGGGTTTCCAAGGCTGTAATCTTTACGGAAGCAGACTGCCAGGTCTCTCTCCCACAGAGTGGCTGATGAGTTCCAGTTGCAGACCTTTTGGTTATGCAGTGGAGGGATTAACCACTGAACCACCAAGGCTCCTTGGCATATAATAGGTGTCTAGAAAATGTAGGAAATGTACAGGCACAGAGTCTCCAAACGGTTGGGTCAGTGCCTCCTTTACTGTCTCAGGAAACATACACAGTGCTCAACCTCTCAGTCCTCAGCTTTGGAGCCAGGAAGTGAATTGTCCTCTGCACTGGTCCAGGCATCCATCCCAGGACTACAGCTGGATTCACTTGTTGTTATTAGGTGGGCACTCGACTCATGGGGACACCATGCACAACAGACTGAAACACTTTCTGGTCAGCCCTGCACCATCCCCATGGTGGGTTTTGGACAGGACCATTGAGATCCATAGGGTTTTCACTGGCTAATTTTTGGAAGGAGATCACTAGACCTTTCTTTCTAGTCCATCTTAGTCTGTAAGCTCTGCTGAAATCTGTTCCGCATCCTAGCAACACACAAGCCTCCACTGACAGATGAGTGGTGGCTGTACGTGAGGTGCATTGGCTGGGAATCTAGCTGAGTTTCCCACATGGAAGGCAAGAATTCTACCACTGAACCACCACGGCTATTACACTCCTTTCAATAATAGCTAAGAAGATCTGCGTGCTGGTGGCCTCTGAGAAATATTGTTGAGCTTAAAGCACTTGATTCCAGCTGTCCAGGATAAACCAGGCTCTCCTGCTATTTTCTCCACTCTCTCCTCTATTATCCCACGCATAAAATCAATACTGAACTTTAACCGTAGTGGTGCACTATTTAGACCATGGCTAAGCAGGACAGGCATCCTGGCCATAAATCCAGTGTTTGGTGGCATCAAATGGCCTCTTCTTCCTTGACCCCTTGAGGCGGTATGTTTCAAAACCAGGACAGACAAGGAGGCAAATAATTTGTTTGCAGACACTTCAGACTCAGAGTACTGTTTCCATCATTTATGGGTTTCTAGCAGCAGCCCCTCTCCAGAATGGCTGAGATAGCTTGTTGTTTGTTAGGGGCTGTCGAGTTGGTTCCAACTCATTGCAACCCTATGTACAACAGAACAAAACACTGCCCAGTCCTGCGCCATCCTCACAATTGTTGTTATGCTTGAGCCCATTGTTGCAGCCACTGTGTCAATCCATCTCAATGAAGGTCTTCTTTTTTGTTAGCCCTCCACTTTACTAAGCGTGATGTCCTTCTCCAGGTCCCCCCGATGACATGTCCAAAGTATGTGAGACAAAGTCTCACCATCCTCACTTCTAAGGAGCATTACGGCTGAGATAGTTTACTAAACTTAAACTCGAAACTCTGCAAGTTTTACGTTTGTTCTGTATTGTCCTTAATTGGTGTTTCAGTTCGGATCTGAAGAATGGGAATCTTGTTTTTTGAAAATTGGTTTGTCCCCATTTCTGAACATCAGTCACGTTCCACTGATAAATAATCAGTCAGATGTCCCTGCCTCACCTTCTGCTCCCCCCAGAGAAGCTCTGGCCACCCTAGAGCAGGCCAATTCTGGAGCAGTCCCACCTAAGGGACCAGAAACCAGAACCTTGATCCCAATCCCTTGTGGTCTGCCACCAGGTAAGACAAACTCAACTCTCTGGCAGTTTCCTTGCCTGTAAATGGAAACCACACACCTTCGTTCCTCCCCTTGAGAATTCAGAAACGCTCCTTGGGTCAGGAGGTCTGGGTGCTAGTCCCAGACATGCCACTCTAGCTGGGTCCCTCAGGGCAGTAATTTTTCCTGGGCCTTGTTTCCTTCAGATCCCTGGGTAGCACAAATGGTTTGTGCTTGTCTACTAACCAGAAGATTGGTAATTCAAACCCTCCCAGTGGCGGCACCACAGAAGAAAGGCCTGGTGATCTGCTCCCTTAAAGATTACAGCCAAGAAAACTCTATGGAGCTCAATTCTATTCTGTAATACACAGGGTGGCCATGAGTCAGAGTTGACTTGACAGCAATGGATTTGGTTTGGTTTGGTTTTCTTCATTTACAAAATGAGAGGATGAAAGTAGAGGATCTTTACCCTTGGTATCAGAAGTCCACAACTCTAAACTCTGTCAAAAATAGTCTCAACCTCCTTAATAATAATAACATGTTGTTATCATTAAAAACCAGTCTGTAACTTGCAGGTTCTCTGCCTACTTTCTTTCTCTGCAAAGTATTGTAGGTTGCTGCTGTTGTTTGTTGCCTCAAGTCGGCTCCAACTCACAGTGACCCCACGTACAACAGAATGAAACGCTGCCGGGTCCTGTGCCATCCTCATGATCGCCAGCATCACTGAGTCCATTGTTGCCTTCCAACCTAGGGGGCTCATCTTCCAGCACTGTATCGGATAACGTTCTGCTGTGATCCGTAAAGTTTTCATGGGCTAACTTTTGGAAGTAGATAGCCAGGCCTTTATTCCTAGTCTGTCTTATCCTGGAAGCTCTGCTGAAACCTGTCCACTATGGGTGACCTGATGGTATTTGAAAGACCAGTGGCATAGCTTCCAGCATCACAGCAACACACAAGCTACCACAGTACAACAAACTGACAGACGGGTAGGTTATTCCCATGTTATTCTGTTTGTTACTGGTTTTGGGAGAACTCCATCCTCCAAGTGCAATTTTGGTGAAACTTTTCCACTATCGGTAACAAGAAAGGTCTCTGTGAATGGAAGGCTCTCCATTCTAGATGAGGTCTGTGCTCCCCACTGACACACCTGAGCAATTCTCTCGTCTTGGCACTGCTGAGAGGATAGAGTACAAGGCTCTGGTACTGGATCATGGGAACGGTCATGAACCATGAACTCTAACTTCATACCCAAGGCAATTGCTCCCTGTCAAACCCAAACCCACTGCCACTGAGTCGATTCCAACTCAGGGACCCCATCGGGTTTCCAAGGCTGTAAATCTCTACAGAAACAGACTGCCACATCTTTCTCCTGCAGAATTGCTGGTGGTTTCAAACCGCTGACCTTTTGGTTAGCAGTCGAGTGAGTGCCTTAACCACTGCACCACCAGGGCTTCTTACTTGTTCCCTATAGGTCTAGTTAATTCCTCTGAGTCTCCCCCTTGTTGCTTATCTGACTGACATGCAAAGCTGTGGCTTCTCTGTCAGGTAGGATCCAGTCGGAGCCCTTGGTTCGGTGCTATGGCAATAACTACTATTTCCTCCCTCCTGTGTGGAGTGCGAGGAGGTGTTAAGCTCTCCCCATATGGCGCTGAGCAGGACACATAGGCATTTGGCCCTGGAAGGTGTGGAAGCACGGCACCTTAGTTAACCCCTGGGAGTCACTGGCTCCGCACTTCCCTGGATGGCCAGGCCCTAACAGCATCTAGAAAACTACAAAAGCCTGGTCTGCTGGCTGGCTTGGTTATTCAGACCATTAGCCTGCAGCCTTTTTTTGCACTATTTCTCCTGGACAGTCACTTTGCCGGGTGCTCACAGCTTATGGGAGGGGATGGCAGGCACCAAGTTCAAGGTTGGGCTGCGAGCTGGCCTGAATTCATCGCAGCAGCCCTGCGGCAGCAGGACAGCTCTGGGAGGTAGAAGTGAGTCATAGGGAACCGGGAGGGGCCTGCTCTCGCTAAATTTAAAATCCCTGCTGGATGTATTTGTGAGGTTGTTTTCATTATTTTCCTGAGAAAATGCATCAAGTAGAGAAAATGGCAGGGACAGAGGGAAGAACTTTACTGAGCTTGGAGTGTAATTATTAATCCCATGATTCTCAGATGAGTCCATTCGTTTAGACAAGCAGAGGAAACTTGGCAGAAAGGATCAAATGCAAAATACTTGT